CGTGTAAATTCCAAAATCCGCGTAAAAAAACGTGTTAAAATCCCGCGTAAAAATCGACTCCAGTGTTTTGAAAAAAATAAATAGGTTCAAATTATTTTTATAAAATCTATTGCTCTACGATTTTTGATAATGTCTAAGTATTCGTAGTTTTCAAAAATGTAAAACGTAGCATCTTTAATAAGATTCTGTAATAAAAAATTCAAAAATATTGTTCAATAACATTTAATATTATTAAATATTTGACCACTTTCTTGAATTTATTACTTAAAATAATTAATCACATATTCAATATACATCTTTTCTTGCCAGACGTTATTCAGAGTGAAGTGATGTTTCCACGGTACGATTTATTAAAAAATGACGAATACATCACTTTAAAAGCAAAATGCATGTTTTTAAATGATAGAATTTTAGCACAAATGGTAATGATTGCCCATAACCATGAATTATGCAATGTTTCAAGTAAATCGTTGAATTATTTTATTTATTTATTTCTTTATCTAACGTCAGTCTCTGTTCCTCAATTTGGTGCCAATCACCGACGGACATCGATTGCCATCCATTGACGGCAATATAAAGTGCAGGAAGGCCGCTTCCACACCTGCGTAGGATATCGCCCCCATTCAACACACATGGACCGGGACCAACGGCTTTACTTCCCTTCCGAAGGAAGACGTGACCAGAGATTTTTATGCCTCAGAAAAATCCCACCGACCTCGGCTGGGATTGAACCCAGACCCATTGGGGTGAGAAAGCAGTCACGCTTACCACTACAACACCGGCGCCGGTAATAATTGGAGAAAGACTGGTCTACTTGGTGTGGAACTGCTCAAATAAATTTTAGAGTAAATGCTGTGAATCTTGAACTTTTTTTTCGAGTCTTTAAAATTACCTGAATTTTTAATTTCGATAATCAATTTCTTCGATTATTACAGAATTAATCCTTGCACTAGACCAGCTCTTGGAAAATATATCGAAAATATCAAAGTTTAGAATCGACCTTCTCCGATTTGTATGAAACTCTGCGTAATTGTTTGTTCTGGGCAACGATTCATATGTGTGCAAAAATTTGACCATTTTGGATTTTTTTTTTAAATTTTCAAAATAGAGGCATTGAAATTTTTCAAAAAAATAACTGTTAATTTAAATTAACAAACAAAACATGTTCTTTATTAATTTTAAGTAAGCATTTAAAATTAAAGGTACTTTTTTTAATTTCCTTGCCTGGCGTACTTATTTTCAAAAAAAAAAACTTATGAAAAATGCAAACTTTTAAAAAACCATGGGCGCATGAAAACTAATAAAAATCCTAGATCAAAAGCTTTTCGCCAAAATATTGAATCTTTTTGATGGTACGCTTTTTTGAGTTTTTTTTTACAGATATGGATTTTAAATGACTTGAAAATTTATACTCAAATTTCATTAAAAAAAACGTTTCAACAAAATGTTAAAAAATTTGACTTAAAGTTTTACGTTTCCAAAATTTAAAAAAAGGGTAAGTGTTGCAGAACTGGCAACTAGCTCAAATTCAACATAAATTTTCATGGTTTTATTTGCGTAGATATACGGTAAAACCTATGTCCTAGCCTTGCATTGAATTAAATTTGATGAATATTGAATATAATTTAAAATTAATACAGGTCCAATCAGGATATCACCACACTAAGGCAAATAAACGTGTGAATTTTATAAGCGTGACCTATGCATGATTTTCGTCTAACATGTCGTAGCTCTTATAGGCCTTTAATCATTGAATTTTCCCAACCGTTGAAAGATAAGTGCTCAACACACGGGGCCCATAATCTCAACCGTCCATTGATCGGTTCCAGTCTGCTCGAATTAATTATTTCTTTGTCAACATTATTTTTCATAAGGCAATTCAATGAAATTCATACCGATTTCTTGTGGCTAAAATTAATAAGTGGTTCTCATGGAATTCTAGCGTTCTTTTGCCTCAGTGTAGAGCCAACAGCCAGCATACTAACCCCATTACAAAAGTGAGCATTTTCCGTGAAATTTTATTAAAAAAAATCAAAACTCAGACATTTCGGTTTTCAACATTTTTTAGGTTATTTTACTAGAAATTAGAAAAACATTTTTTTGTTTATTTTTCCAAGAAAAAAAAAACAACTTTTCTCAATAACTTTGTGTGAGACGTCATTTCTTTCAGAAGTACTGTTACCGTGCTACAATTTTTTGGAATATATCAAAGATGCCATTTCGAATTATAAATGATCCAAAATGGCCGAATTTTAGCAAAAATCTGAATCATTGCCCATAACAAACAATTTTTCAAAGTTGCATGAAAATCGGAGAAGGTCGATTATTTCCGATATGTCATTTGGCGTGGAACTGCTGAATACAAACATTCCTAGTAACAGTTTAAGTTTTATCGCGATTTTGGAGAGATTTATAAGTCTTAAGTGCTGGCCAAACTGAGCAGTTATAACATGGTTGTCAAATAATTGCAACATAGAAACCACCATCAAGATCACGCTAAGTATAACATGTTATAACTCTGTAGTCTGAACGTACTATTAGAATGGACTTGAAGGTCATAATAAAGCCAGAAATGCTACTTGGGATTCCTGCAGGATATTTTCTTCTTCTTCTTCTTCTTCTTATTTGGATTTATTACGCCTCTACTGGGATCTAGCGCAGGCCTTTAACTTAATTTAACCGACAACTCAACAAACAAACTAAACCAGTTCCTATTGGAAATATACTCTCCTCATATCTGAGCGAGTTGTATATGGCCAATCTAGGAGATATTCTGAAGGATAAGATTGTGTTGCGTTCTCTTTCGTCTTATAAAAAGATTTACAATTTTTTTTGGCAGTGAGCACCGGGATATCAAGTTTAGTTATGAACAAGAGAAATATCAGAGTTGGTTGGAAATGGTATCGAACATGAAGCTTTAGTGTGATAATTTATTAGCTAGAGAATGGTCTTAGAAGAGGGTAGGTAGATAGTTCCGTTAGAATACGGCAGTATGAAAATTGAATAGAAGTTGAAACAGAGCGAAGGGCCATTAATGCGACAGTGCAAGTCAAACGCACACTTTTTACTTAACCCGTACGATGTACGCGGATTGGAAGAGAAATATGATAATCTGCCTTTCTTGGATCTCTTCCTTAGCCAGTAAACGTCTTCTTTCGATTTCAGAATCTGCAGGTAGCAAAACTAACCCCACGTGAGTAATTCCAAGTTCCTAAAGTTACGCTGATTAACACCAAATGACTACTTTCCACCACATTATTCATATTATGGAAACGGTTCTGCATGGCAATAGAGAAAAGTCTACAGAAATTGATCAATTTCATGAAATAGCTTGGCTTGACCGAACAATTCAAGCAATAATTGACAAATAACGAGGAACAAACACAGACTAACTCTAACGCCAGTCGCAGAAGCAGTGCTGCAAAATATCAATATCAATGCCTACAAAATGCTGAATTTCACTAGCCAAATGGTACTCAAATGGTTTATCTACGCCTGCTAATCGAGAACCGATCTTTAAAAAACTCATCAGTAATATTAATACAATGCAACGGTTATGCAGAAACGTTAGGGTGATACTTTAAGGAAGCCTTAGCGTGAAACTTCAAAGGCGATAATGTCAGCTTCCAATAAACATACAAATTTGAAATTGCTACTCTCTGTTTGTAGTAGCATAGCAAACAAGGAGTAGCAATTTCGAATTTGTATGTTTTGTGGAAGCTGACATTTTTGCCTTTAAAGTTTCACGCTAAGGCTTCCTTAGAGTATCACCTTAATTTATTGAGATAAAAGTAAGATTCTCAACTAGTGATATTCATATGGATAGTAATTTAAAAGTCGTACCGCCTGATATCATGCTTACTACGAATATCAGTGTCGAAAGTGAAATTCAGTGCTAGACCAATATCTTATAAGTTTTAGAAAAAGCCTAAATCGACCAAATTTCTGGTCTAAATTTTGTTATATGATGGCAGTACAAAGAGGACTTTGGAAATAAGATTCAAGGAGCACAACGCTGTGAAAAAAAAAATCAAAATGTATTCACCTTTGGTGTGATTTGACACTTCTTACAAATTTAAGATGTTATCATCTCATCATGTCAGCATTTGACTACTTCCCCGGGGACACCCGGAACATGTCCAATGTGGTCACACACTTTGATTCTAATGGACTTAGTTAATGAATTATCAAGTGATTTTATGTGTCGCTTCATTCACCATGATTTTGACCAGTCTCCCGGGGGCTATCGGAACGTGTTCGGGTGTGGCCAGCGTGGGCAGTTATTATGACTGTCATTGATCATATTTTCGAATTTTCATGAGATTTGATATATCGCATGAAGGGTTTGCTTCTAGTCTCAAAACCCATGCTCACCCGAAACATGTTCCGGACATATCTCCGGAACCAGTTAAACGGTTCCAAAAATTTTCAGTTGTGTTCCATGGGACCATGGTTCCTTTTATTTGGCATTTGATGCATCCAGATGAAGTGGTATTTATAAAACTATCTTACAAATGTTTGACCAATATCGATTGGAGATTGTGAACAGTTTAGAGCATTCCTAGTTCCAATAATTGACTAAAATAGATTGACTACTTTTTACCATGATTTTTTTTTAATTCTTCTCTGGGCATGAAGTAATATTGAACTCGGTACTTAATATTCAAAATCAAGCTAAGAAGGCTCTATATTAATCACGATGCAAACGCTCAAAGGAACTCAAACGCTGCGTTCCATTTGTTAAGTTTTCACATAAAATTGATACTAATTACGCTTGAATTTCAGGGTTATTTGAAAATAGTCCATATTTAAAATTTATGTAAAAAATCACCGATGAAAAATGATCTAAAGAATTCAAAATGCAGCTGAAATATGTAAAATCATTCCACGATTCACTAAATTTCATCAGAAACCCATACAAACTTTCCCACATGCCCAGCATTGCCCTTGAAGGTAGGCTCTCATAACATCACTTTAATCTAAAAGCATCAAAAACTTACATTTCTCCTGCGCCTCGAAATTACATCATCATCATCATCATCATCATCGCCATCACCATCGTCGTCGTCGTCGTCGTCCTGTTGATGCTCCTCTTCGACGCTAATGAAAACATCCTCCAACAGTCCTTTGAACTCTAGGGCTTTTTCGCTGCCATGCTGCCACACACCGTCGCCACCAGCTCAGCCGCAATGCTTAAGGCTCTCATCGCCCCACAATCATATGTATTTATTTTTCATCCAACTCTGCCCTCTGATGCACTTGTGACGTGATGTGTGAATGGCTTACACCAAACTGCGGTAGAGCAACAGCAGAGAGAGAAAAAAACCCTAAACTCTAGCACTTCATCATCACTAACTCCATCATCTACACATCACGTTCCACCGACCGCCTTTTTCATATCTATATCAGAACACTATCTTTTTCATTCCCCACCCAGCCCTTTTCTCGTACACTCTGATCTAGGCAAAAGCTTTTGAAGTCAACTGACTTGCATTACTTTCGGTGGTCACCTCGTCGTCGTTGCTTGCACTTGCACGTTTCACCAATTTCACTTGAATTGAAGTCACTTGCCTTGGCACGGAGAGCACCCACGCATACACACACACACACGCGCGCGATGAACGAACACCGAAATCTTCCTCCCGCGGAGTTGCTTCTAAACTGTCCTGGCAGCTTACGTCGACGGGGTAACAAGGCAGAGAGACACAGTGTCCCGAAGTCCGGAAAGTAGCCGTTCCCTAATCCCTCTACACTCTGGTCTTCAGATTTTCAGAACAGACCACAAATCTCGGAACCGGTTCGGATTATCCGAATCGCGCGTCCGGTCGGAAGCGAGGCTAAGCATAAACTAAAACAATTTTCCATCTGTGGCCAGCTGGCCCTGCACGGGAAGATCTCCTCCATCATCGGGTAGCGGAGCATCGGGAACCCCGAGTCGTTCGTTTTATTGCAAAATGTTTACTATCGCTCGCCGCCTGCTCCGAGCCGAGATGGAACCGAAGTTTGACATTCATTTGGGGGGATGTTCTCACCCCACCCGCATGCCGATGATGCCATCTGGGGGAGGAAGAGAGCGTGAGAGAAATTTTCCACCGCAACGTCGTCGTGCTGTGGGGAGAGAAAGTTGATGGCAGAAAACATCGAATGCTTGGCACGGCGGGAAATTGGCGAGTGAATTTAAATGTTTAAGTGGTAGGGCTGATAGCGGGTTACTTTTTAGTGAATTTGTCACTGTTTTGTCGGTGGTCAGTTCAAAGTATCATTTAAATAAGAATCTATAATATTTCTGTCGATGAACCTATAAGTCCTTTTTCGATTTAGTACAAATAGGGTGATCTTCTGTAATGTGATGTGCATTTTTATTAATACGTCACATATACACTCTAGATCATAAGTTTGAGGTCACACCTAAAAAAAATATTGAAAGGTATTCAATAAGACTTAGTTTGTAGGTATTTTGCTATATATTTGTTTCAAACTTTTTATACTACAACTTAACCTAAAGTAACAACATTTTCCAAAATTCACACTGTATAATCATGACTGATTTTCTCAGAATTGGGTCACCCAAATTTTGAAATGACATTGTTTGTAGAATCCTTATTCTGTACCCATCCAGGAACTTTATTGAAAATTTGGTGGAAAAAATTAATAAAATAGGGGAAATGGATGTAATGTCGGTCTAAATGCTCCTAATTTGAGCCCATATATAAATTCAGCGGTCGATTAAATTTTCATTAGAGAACACTTATATCAATTAGTACCGTCCCAATGACGCGTTTATCTTGATAAAATTGATAAATAGCTGATTTTTAGCGATGGGCCCCATCTTAGATCCATAGGCCAACATTAGAGCCATTTCCCCTATTGTGAATCAATAAAATACTGTCAAGTCATAGATCATAAGATTGGGCCACCCCACTGTGCGGTGAATGTATTGCTCAAAAGTCCAGGGTCACCCTTAGGAACAAAATCTCTGTTTTCATTTTTCATTAAACATTTGCTTTTTTTTGGGAGTGACTCCATTTGATTTGACATTTGATCGGGAGTGTATATAGCTAAATATATAGTTAGGCATTGTAGATCATAGATCATGTTCGTAACGATTGTATATGATGAAATATTTAAAATTCCTATTGCATGACAACGCAAAGCTTGCACTTAATAGTTTTTTTTTTTGTTAATTACTTTCTGTGTACAGGCTCAATCGAATAAATTTAACAGAGCCAAATTACCATTACGTTATTCACTATCAATGTATTAAATCTAAAGTTAAAGAAATTCAACCGAATACTCAGTTAGTACTAGAACTTTGTTAAAACAACACGCGTTGTGATTAGTGCTCTTCAAACTGAACGTCTGGGCTACTCTTCACACCTCGTGTGATCATAACCTTAAATCGGAATCTATTCATCTATTCTATTAAAAATGGACAAAACCAGGAAGAACACGTTGAAAATCGTTTTTGGAAATGCGGCCAAAGTACCCATTTGGATGTTCTACGGTTCACAGCAAGTATTTTGATGATACCACCGGCAAATGTACACTCCATTTACAAAGATGAAAATGATCGTTGCTTCTACATCAAGTTTCTGGACGACGAGAGATTTAACCAATTTGTGCGCAATATAGAGGAGCAGTACCGGTTCGAATATAGCGATGGACAATGCATCTACGTCAAGCCGGAAGTGGCAAGCAGACTATTCAGGTACGTGAGAATCTTTAATCTGTCACTGGAAACAGAGGACAAGGACATAGCTGCAGTACTGGGACAGTTCGGCACAATCCGGCAACATGTTCGCGAGCGTTACCCTTCTGACTATGGATATAGCGTTTACAGTGGTATTCGTGGGGTCCATATGAAGGATATACTAGCCAACCTGTACATTGCGCATTTCAAGGTTCGGATCTATTTCGATGGCCTGAAAAATAAGTGTTTTTTTCTGAAAAGGTATCAAGGCCGACTGCCCCAAGCTGGGGGCCATGAACCCTGCGGATAACAATATATCGTACAGCGGGATTGTGTTCGGTGCAAAAGCGAACAATGCTCGAACGGATGCTGAACTAATTACAACACTACAGATTTATTAATTTTATTTATTTATTTATTTATTTATTCTATAAAATTCCATCTGACTTCAAGTCTAAATGAAATATGGGATGGGGAAAAGCACATTTGGCTCAAAAAGACGCAAAAACACCATATCTTTTCACAAAACAGTACACATTATCGTTTTCACAAGGCATTAAGTGGTATACAGATTATAAATAAAACATAAATATGTTCTCGAAGTGAATCAATCAATAAAACAATTTTTAGGTAGCACATTCATTTTCCTAGTTAATTATTGGACAGATACTCACCAATTGCATTATTATTCGATTCAAAATCGTTGATTATTATTAAGTTGGCGTTGCATAATGGTGGCAGAACTTTTGAAGTCAAATCTGCTGGCGATTTTGTTAAACCGAAGTGTCATGAATCTGATTGGATCATGTTGTCCATAACGAGTGTGACGGTTAGCTAAATGCAAGAAATTGCGTCGTCTCAAAGGTCGTTCTGGAACATATATATTCAATTCAGCGAGAATATCTGGGGCGTCAATATCGTTGGTCAACACCTTAGCCACGAATACAGCTTGCATAGTCGATCTTATTTGTTACAGGGTATCAATTCCCAGCAGCATACAGCGATTCAGTGCGTCGTGCCAGGGTAAGTGTTGGAGGACTAAGCGCACAAACTTTTTCTGTACAGCCTCGAAGCGATCGATCCAGTTTCTATTGTATGGACACCATACTACTGCGGCAGATTCCAAAATAGAGCGTACTAGGGCACAGTAGAGGGACTTCAGGTAGAGAGGATCGCGAAATTCACCAGCAAGCTTAAAGGTGAACCGAGCTGCTTGTTAGTTTTTGCTAACACATCTTCACAATGCGGTCGGAAAGTGAGTTCACGGTCCAATATCACACCAAGATCCCTCACGTGATCCATGCGTCCGGGAGTTTGCCCAGATAGCTTGTAGTTGAAATATAACGGTTGACGCTTTCTACTAAATGAGATCGTGTTGCATTTGGCTATACACAAATCAAGATGATTATGCTTGCTCCAGTCCTCAAACAAATCCAATAACCGTTGCAGCTCCAAGCAGTCTTCAATACAAGTGATTACCATAACTATCTTAACGTCATCTGCATAGAATATTCGCTGTCCGCGTGGCAGAACAAATGAAACATCATTTCTGAATAACGAGAAGAGAAGCGGGCCTAAATTACTTCCTTGTGGTACGCCAGAAGGAATGAAAAATTCATCTGAATATGAAGAGCCGATCCTTACTTTCACAGACCTTCGGGTCAAGTACGATCTAAACCAATTTACTAGGTCGGAGGAAAGTCCAAGTTTCTCAAGTTTTCCAAGTAGGATATCTTGGTTCACTCGGTCGAATGCAGCTTTGAAATCTGTGAACACGGCATCTACTTGCGTACCAGCGTCCATCGAGCGTATGCAGAGTGAAGTAAACTGTGAGATTTGTAGTGACGGATCGTTTCGGGAAGATCTATGCTGAGAACAGGATATGTAGTTCTTGCTAGCCTCAAAGAGAATATATTTAACGATAATCTCAAAAAGTATAGAGCATGCACTCAACGAAGTGATTCCCCGGTAGTTGGCAACATTACATTTGTCCCCCTTTTAGTGAATCGGAGACAGGAATGAAGTTTTTCATCCAGCAGGAAATGTTTTCCTTTGAAACGAGAGGTTGAATAGTTTCACTAATAGTTTCAGCAGAGCACTTGAAGGAATCCCATCAGGTGATACCAAATTTTTTAACTTACGTAGAGCATTTTGGACGTGCTCCTCGGTGATTCGAAGAATTCCAAGTTCAAAGCTGTGCGACGGAGTATTACTGAGGGCAGCGTCGATCTGCGTTTGCGTGGTCGATGTATTCGAGAAGGCATTCTTGAAGTGATCGGCAAATAGCTCACATTTACTAGACACTGAACTAGCAGAACGTTCATCAAAGTACATGGATGTAGGTACCCGAAAAAAAAATACAATACGTTGTATAATGCAAACGTTTAATTTACAATAAGTTTTGTGGTTGACAATAAAATCAATGAATTTTCTAATGTACTATTATTTGATGACTTAAATGATTCATGGTATAAACTATTCATTGACAATACTACTTATTGTAAAATTTTATTATCGCTTTTTTCGTTAATGTTATACGAAAATCTCGATAAAAATATAGCTTAAAATACATATTGAAATATTTGAATAAAATTGTTTCCTATCATTTCAGCTATGGGCATATGTAATTAATCAGATCTTTAAGTGCATTTCATACGACTTGTTCAAATGTTACAATTAAGTAGTTTATTGTTCAGAATTTTGTGTTAACTATACAATTTTTAATGCACATGTGAATTTATTGTTTTCTTTTTAGTCTACCCATGTTACAAATTTAATCTTACGAATATGCATAATGTCAAAAGCATAAATACGAATACATTTTTTAAATGAACTGTTCACTTCTACTAATTTCAAATCTTCAATTTCAATTCCGATCAATGATTCTTCGCTATCAATCATAATAGGTTTGTACAACAAATAATAACTAAGGTCTTCGAATAGAATGTGTTTAATAACACCATATATATGATTTCCTTGAAATATCATAGTAAAAGTTGAATCATCTCTTTTAGAAACGATTGCTGTGTTAGTGGAGTTTAATCTATCTCGTTTGAAAGTATACCTGCTTGAAATCAAATATTCTCTCTCTTCAAATAGTTTATCGTAGCTATGTAAAATATG